CTGCTGTAAAAATAGCTGAACAATGCCTGCATCTGACTGGATGCAGGTTCTGATCAACGGACATTTTTTCAGCCCAGCTCCCTTATTTTTTTTTTAGGGATGTTGGGGGGGGGGGTGTCCAACAGGGCCACCCACTGAGCAAATTTTAACCTACATATTGGCCAACTGAAACTCTGCGGTCCACTAAAGCTAAGATATCATTTTTGGGAGGAGTGTGCTTTTAACAAAAGAACCACTGTATATTTTTGGATTTGTCTCTAATGGCACCACAGTACACAGCAGATCTAACCAATTTCACAATATTGGCTGCAGGAAGGAGCAGAGATTACAATGGCACCCCACATCTTTCTGAACTTAGCTCTTGATGGGAATAACTGAGTGTGGTAACACACAACACAGTAAAAGCCTCAATACCTAGAAATACAGTTGCAAGAAAAAGTATGTGAACCCCTTGGGATTACGTGGAGTTTTGCATGAATTGGGCATAAAATGTGCTCTGAACGTCATCTAAGTCACAACAATAGAAGAACACAGTCTGCTGAACATAATACTACACAAACATTAGATGTTGCCATGGTTTAATTGCACATAACATGTAAACATTCACAGTGAAGGGAGGAAAACGTATGTGAGGCCCTAGCTTAATGACTTCTCCCAGAGCTAATTGGAGCCAGGAGTGAGCCAACCTTGACTCCAATCAGTGTGATGATATTGGATGTGTTGCTGACAGCTGTCCTGCCCTTAAAAAACACACACTGTTTTGGATTTACTGGTTTCAAGAAGCACTGTCTGATGTGAACCATGCCTCGCAGAAAAGAGCTCTCAGAAGACCTACGATCAAGAATTGTTGACTTGCATGAAGCTGGAAAGGGTTACAAAAGTATCTCCAAAAGCCTTGATGTTCATGTGTCCGCGGTAAGACAGACTGTCTACAAATGGAGAAAGTTTAGCACTGTTGCTACTCTCCCTAGGCGTGATCGTCCTGTAAAAATGACTGCAAGAGCACAGCGCAGAATGCTGCATGAGGTAAAGAAGAATCCCAGAGTGTCAGCTAAAGACCTGCAGAAATCTCTGGCACATGCTAACATTTTTGTTGATACATCTACAATAAGGAAAACATTAAACAAGAATGGAGTACATGGGAGGACACCACGGAGGAAGCCATTGCTGTCCAAAGAGCACCTGGATGTTCCACAGCACTACTGGCAAAATATACTGTGGACAGATGAAACCAAGATTGAGTTGTTTGGGAAGAACAGACAACACTGTGTGGAGAAAAAAAGGCACAGTACACCAACATCAAAACCTCATCCCCACTGTAAAACATGGCGGAGAGAGCATCATGGTTTGGGGCTGCTTTGCTGCCTCAGGGCCTGGACGGATTGTTGTCATTAATGGGAAAATGAATTCCAGAGTTTATCAAGACATTTTGCAGGAAAACGTACGACCATCTGTCCGCCAACTGCAGCTCCGCAGAGGATGGGTGATGCAACATTACAATGACCCAAAGCATACAACTAATTCAACAAAACAATGGCTGCAACAGCACAGAATACGCCTTCTGGAGTGGCCCAGTCAGAGTCCTGACCTCAACCCGATTAAAATGCTGTGGCATGAACTTAAGAGAGCGATTCACACCAGACATCCCAAGAATATTGCTACACTGAAACAGTTTTGTGAAGAGGAGTGGTCCAAAATTACTCCAGATCGCTGTGCAGGTCTGATCTGCAACTACAGGAAACGTTTGGTTGAGGTTATTGCTGCCAAAGGAGGGTCAACCAGTTATTAAGTCCAAAGGTTCACATATTTTTCCTCCCTGCACTGTGAATGTTTACATGTTATGTGCAATTAAACCATGGCAACATCTAATGTTTGTGTAGTATTATGTTCAGCAGACTGTGTTCTTCTATTGTTGTGATTTAGATGACGTTCAGAGCACATTTTATGCCCAATTCATGCAAAACTCCACGTAATCCCAAGGGGTTCACATACTTTTTCTTGCAACTGTATCTGAATATTGCTGATGAACAAGCAACCACAAAAAAAAAAAACTGAGACAAGTATAATAAAAAGGAAAGTCCTTTATTGTATTTTTTTTCTTAAATCATTGTCAATATTTTAAAATACATAAATACTGTATTTTCCACTTGCATCAGAAATACTAAATTATCATAGTAGCAGAATCTAAAAATGACCAAGTTATTCAGTAATTTAATTATGAACAAGTCAAAATATTCTGTCTTCAAAGTACTGGGATAAAGCAATAATGACATTTCCACAGTTCACTTGTGTTCAAATGTACCTCTTTCTGACAACAGTTTTTCTAGCTTTGTGCCTATGGCTAGTGGATCTTTCTATAGCACAGCAAGGGCCACTGAATGCAACCACATAACTTGGTCTTGGCAACAAGGTCTCTTTAAATGCATTAATTATTTTACCCCCACACCTTATTTATCTGATGAGAATTTTCTCCTCATGTTTAATGTTTTATAACTAAAGGCAAGAACTTGTTTTTGCTTTGGATAGAGTGGAGAGGGATTAGAACACCTATTAGATTTTTATTGCTGTCTGTACCCCAGTTTGGGAGATTCACCCTCTCTATTTGTCCTGTTAACCATTATCATTGAAATTGAAAGTAACAGAAAATCACAAATTGTTGGTTGTTGCCAGAAATATAATAGAAGGGAAATCATCAAATGGGGACACTAGTTCTGGTGAACTGGGGATCCCCAAGGGCTTCTCTTAATTTGCAGGAATTTCTTCTCACTTCCTGTTTTGGCTATGGGACAAGAAGTGAAGGAAAATCTCCCCAATGGGACAACGAAGGAAAAAATAAAGTGGACAGGGGTTACAACCTCTCTTATGTTATCCAAAATGAGAAAAAATGGTTTATCTATAATTGTATTTTATTTCACAAACTTAAATATCTCTTAGGTGTTTAATTGTTATGTCTCTGCATGAAATGGGCTTGTGACTGTGTAAAGCCTTAGGCCTCATACAAACTGGGCATCTGATGTTTACGTGTGGGTGGAAGGCAGACTGTTAAACTTATGAGGCTGATAGCTGTTGCAGCTGGATGTTGCACAGAGCAGTGCTAACATTTAGCGTAGCCCAGGGAAGTCTGTTCTGGACAATTGTCCTTGGGGCGCGTATTGCCCCAAATGTTATTATCACTTTGTACAGTGTGTTACACAATCTATGTAGGACACTATCAAAAAAACATCTGAACTAGAGAAAATCAGTCTTTGGAACCTTGTAAACTATCAATGAAGCAGGCTAATATTGTGCATATGATAGAATTGTATACTTACCGTATTTTCCGGCGTACAAGACGACTTTTTACCCCTTGAAAATCTTCTCAAAAGTCGGGGGTCGTTTTTATACGCCGGTATACGACATACTGACACTTTTTAGGGGGGCGGCGCGGTGCCGCCACCCCCCCCTTCCAATGGAAGGGACACTAAGTACAGGGGTGGGCAGGGGCTGCTGTTTTCTTACCTGGCTCCGGTCCCACGACGATCCGGTCCAGGAAGCACGGCTGCTCCTTCTGTTCGGCCACTGGATGTTCGCGCGGCTGCTCTCGGCTCCGCCTCCTCAACGGTGATTGGCCGCCAGAACTGTAGCTCAGGAAAGGCACACAGGTGGCCAATTACCGACAAGGGGGCGAAGCTGAGCGGCCCCGCGAAAATCGAGAGAAGGAGCGGCTGGTAAGTGTGCCGTGTAGAGGTGCTGCTGCAACCACATATGCTGGCTACAGCAGCACCATACTATAACAGAGGTCAGCAAGTGTAATTGGTGTCAGTGGGAGGAATAGTGCCCCATCATTGGTGTCACTGATACCAATGATGGAGCACTATTCCTCCCACTGACACCAACGATGGGGCACTATTCCTCCCCCCCACTGACACCAACGATGGGGCACTATTCCTCCCCCCCCCACTGACGCCAATGATGGGGCACTATTCCACCCCCCACTGACACCAATGATGGGGCACTATTCCACCCCCCACTGACACCAATGATGGGACACTATTCCTCCCACTGACACCAATGTTGGGACACTATTCCTCCCACTGACACCAATGATGGGGCACTATTCCTCCCCCCCACTGACACCAACAATGGGGCACTATTCCTCCCCCCCCCCAGACACCAATGATGGGGCACTATTCCACCCCCCACTGACACCAATGATGGGGCACTATTCCACCCCCCACTGACACCAATGATGGGACACTATTCCTCCCCCCACTGACACCAATGTTGGGACACTATTCCTCCCACTGACACCAATGATGGGGCACTATTCCTCCCACTGACACCAATGATGGGACACTATTCCTCCCACTAATACCAATGATGGGGCACTATTCCTCCCACAGACACCAATGATGGGGCACTATTCCTCCCACTAATACCAATGATGGGGCACTATTCCTCCCACTAATACCAATGATGGGGCACTATTCCTCCCACTGACACCAATGATGGGGCACTATTCCCCCCACTGATACCAATGATGAGGCACTATTCCTCCCACTAATACCAATGATGGGACACTATTCCTCCCACTGACACCAATGATGGGGCACTATTCCTCCCACTGACACCAATGATGGGGCACTATTCCTCCCACTGACACCGATGATGGGGCACTATTCCTCCCACTGGTGTGCATTGCTAAAGGGGTAGTCTTATACGGTGAGTATAGCCCAAACACTACATTTTAGCAGGAAAAGTAGGGGGTCGTCTTATACACCCAGTCGTCTTATACGCCGGAAAATACGGTAGTTAGAAAACAGATCTCAATAATGGTGAAAACCCTAGAAAAGTTCACCAGTCAAAAATATAGATTTTATACTGGGAAATTGAAAATGCTTCTGCAGATAAGCACATAGTTTGTAGCTGGCAAGTTCCGGGCCATCCTCCTGCCCTTAACTAATAAACATTAATCTAATTAAAAACCATGAGGGTAAAAAAAAAACAGTTGTATTTCTCTATTACCTCATGATCATAGCAGCACCTACAGCAGAATCTACATCCTTTCCATACACTACAGGAAAAGAAAACGCTCTTTCCAATTCCTGCTGCAACACCGCATTTCGTGCCAAGGCACTACCACTTCCAATGATGCGCTTAATCCCAGCTTCCTTCAGCCTCTGGGATGGCAGCATGGAATGAATGTTCTCAATTAGCCCACGGCACAGAGCTCTAGTCACATGACCAAGTGACAGATTGGCAGTTGAGATGTTTGCCACAGAAGCCACTCTGTCCGGAGCATGCCTCTCACCAAACAAAGTGGGACAAATTGTGAGCTGGGTCTCATGTTCAGATAAAGCAGCATTGATCAGCTTGGAATATATGGTAGAATCTGATGTGTTCCAAACCTGTAAAGGCAAAAAAAAATTATTATTGTCTACCAATGTTTTTTTTTTTTCCTTTATCAGAATAACATTTGGGAAGTATGTTGGTAATCTTGTTAACCACTTGCCTACCGGGCACTTTTACCCCCTTTGTGCACAGGCCAATTTTCAGCTTTCAGTGCTGTCGCACTTTGAATGACAATTGTACGGACATGCAACATTGTACCCATATGAAATTTTTATCATTTTTTACCACACACAGAGCTTTCTTTTGGTGGTATTTAATCGCCACTGGGGTTTTTTATTTTTTGCACTATAAACAAAAAAGAACAAAAAATTTGCAAACAGGTAATTTTTCTCCTCCACTGATGTGTGTTGATGAGGCTGCATTGATAGGCAGCACTGATGAGGTGGCTCGGATAGGAAGCACTGATGGGCACTGATAGGCTGCATTGATGAGGCGGAACTTGTGGGCATTGATGGGGAGGCACTGATGATGCTGCACTGATATGCAGCAATGATGGGCACTGAGAGGCAGCACTGCTGGGCGATGCTGACTGATGGCACTGACTAGCAGCACTGACTGGTGGCACTGCTGGGCACTGATAGGTGGAACTGCTGGGCAATGATGATCGGTGCAGATGTCCTCTGTGTCATTTGCCGGTTATCGGCAGTACTTTCCTCACACTGTGACAGAGAGTAAAAAGTGCTGCCAATAAACAGCAACTGTATTTACATTGTGATCTGCTGTGTCATTGGACACAGCTGATCTCGTGGTAAAAGGCCGCTGTGATTGGCCTTGTATCTCATCATGTGATCAACTGTGTCTGTAGGAGGGAGCGTTTTGGGAGGACAACATATGACGCCCTCCCAGAACTGAACAACTGCGCTGTAGCCGTCATTCGGCTATAGTGCGTCTGGCAAGTGGTTAAAAGTTACATAGGCAGAAAAAAACTTTAACCAATAAAAAACATACATACATACACACAAATACTAAATCTCCATATATACTATCCTATACCCACAGTTGATTTAGAGGAAGGCATAAAACCCCCCAATAAAGCATGATGCAATTCTCTCCAGTGGGGGAACAAATATCTTCCTGATCCCCCATAAGGCAATCAGATATTCTCTGGATCAACTACCCGTCATTATTACCTCTAAATATTAAAATCCAGTTATATTTTGTGCATTTAGGAATACATCCAGGTCTTTTTTTTTTAAAATCTACTGAGCTGGCTATAACTAGTTCTTGAAAGAGTATATTCCACATTTTCACAGCTCTTACTGTGAAGAACCCTTTCCTTATGTGAAGGTTAAATCTCCTTACCTCCAGATGTAAAGAGTGCCCCCTTTTCCCCTGAAATGACTGCTAGTTTATTGAGATGTGGGAGTATTCCTTTACAACGTTAAAGATTATTTCATGACACCCAAGAGTCACCATACATGTCACAATCTGACTATACAATCTTTATGCAACCAACCCAAAATTTAGCAAAACTATATGATATGAGGACCAAATCTATGCAAACAATTTCTACACAATCAGGCAGGCCCTTGCAGAGCATAGCTGTTGGTAGATCTAAATGAGATTGTATATTCAGATTGTACCAAGTGTGTTGAGCATAAAAAAATAATTGAACCGCATGGATCAACCTACTGCTTACTTGTTGTACGTAGTTTATACTTCACTAAATCCCTACACATTGTATTTTGTTCCTCCAGATCGCTGTTCCACTCCGCACACATGGCACAATAGGGTTGGGTTTTCTAAAGGCAAATAAGCTTAGTGCACGTGGTGGAATTTCACTTCAGGAATACCCAATCATATGCAAGGAAAATAATAAACAGTAAATTTGCTTGCACGTGACTGGATGAAGGAAGTCAGCAGAGCTTTCCCTCATTCACTAAGCTCGGGGGATAGTTCTTTTGCAAAGTGAACAGTCTATTTTCTTTTTGTAAACCAACTTCACTGTCTACCAAGAAAATCTTTATGCTTGCTATCACTTATATCAGGGGACTAAAATGGGAATGTCCTCCTGCGATGGCGTCACGAACTGGAAGTGCGTCTCCTGAGGAAGTCACGTGTTGGATCGTGGTGTAACGCGTAGAGCGCATGCGCGGTGATGCACTTCCAATAGCAGCGGCGACGCACTTCCAGTTCCTGATGCCATCTTGGTACACCCGAGTCCTGTAGTACACCCATAGCACATGGGAACTGCTGTACTGTCAAGATAACGATGTGAGTGTCCATTTTATTTGGCATTTTTTAAGATTAAAATTGGTATTACACGCTTCAGGCGAAGTTAATGCGTTTTATATCTGGGCCGATAAGCACCCCAGAGTATCCAAAAGTACGCTTTTTGCCCATAGACTTCAGGGTGGTCTTGGGGTGCCTAATGTGACTAAGTATTATCAAGCGAGCCAGATTGCCCCGCTGTCTATGTTGCAACGCCTCTTCCGACGTCCCCCTCTGGGTCCTGTTGGAACTACCTAATTGTGCCCCTATCGCACCGACGCTTCTATGGCTTCCCCCTGCCCTGCGCCCTATGGCACTGAGTCCGATGTTACTTCATGGCCTACAAGTTTGGGACTCGGTACGTTATTCTGGTGGTCTGATGTCACCTTTTCTGCCTTTGCTACCTATTATTAACAACCCTCTTTTCCCGCCGGGTTTGGATCACCCAGGGGCGTTTTCTTGGTGGGTGACTAATGGTTTTTCGCAAGTGCGACACTTTTTGATTTTTCCGTCCTTTCCCACCTGGGACTCTCTTCGGGAATCCCGGAATATCCCCCCAGCGGAATTTTTTCGATATCTTCAATTGCGACACTGGCTGCTCTCGCTGCGGGGTACTTCTGCGTTCCCGTACCAGAAATCTGCCTTTGAACAGCTTTGCCAACAGCGTCCGGGCGCTCCGGGCCTTATATCCCTTCTTTATGCAGCTCTGAACAGACGCTCATCGCATACTTCTCTTTCATATGTTGTTCAGTGGGAGCGCGACCTGGGAGTGGGCTGTGGATCCGGAGGACTGGAATAAGGCCTGGTCACTCATAGCTAAATGCTCATTTAATACGACCACACTGGAGGCAGCCTATAAGGTATTGTTTCGTTGGTACTGGGTTCCGGCTCGGTTGGCCCGGGCTAACCCTGCCTGTAGTGATCGATGTTTTCGGGGTTGTGGTCATTGTGGTGATGTATTGCATATCTGGTGGTCATGCCCGAGACTGTTTCGTTTTTGGTCTCGTGTATTTGGCCTCCTTTTCACTTTGTTCCATCTCTCCATACGCCGGGATGTTCGGTATGCTTTGCTTCATTGCCCCATACCGGGCCTTTTGGCTCACCAGCAGAAGTTGGCTTCCTATCTGTTTTTATCCGCCACTAGAACAATTGCTCAGGCCTGGAGGAGTCCGTTTGTCCCTCTTCAGGGGGTGCGGGATCGTATGACCACTATGATGCTCAACGAACAGATGTCGAGTATCCGCAATGACTCCCAACGTAAATTTTTGAAAAATATGGGAGCCGTGGTTGCAATATGCCCTTCCCTCACTCTCCCCGGCTAGTCTGGGGATGTAATGGCGTTCGGTGTTGGCGCTCTTGAATCCCTGCTCTTTGCCCCCCCCCCTTTTTTTTTTTTTTTTCCTTTTTCTCTCTCTCTCTGTTTTTGGTGTGACTAGGACAGCTGCATTTAGTTGTTATAATCAGTTACATTAATGTTTTGTAACTTATGTGCCTTTGATAGCCCCTGCGTGGGCGTACCTTTTGCCCTGTTGGCATTAGAGCATTGTTTTTCCCCCTTTTTTTTATTTGGCATTTTGTTTATCTGTGCAATTGATAGCCCCTGCGTGGGCGTGTTTTACTGCCTCTGTTTATACTGTTTAAAAAATTTATCCCAAAAAAAACCATTGAAATAGAAAAATAAAAAAAAAAAAAAAAAAAAATTGGTATTACACTATGGAGGGTCTTTTTATTTTACCCCTTTCATGCATGCCTGAGTCCAATTGTGTGAAAGGGCAGCTAGAGGTCGCTGAGATAGGAGCGGAGCCCAATTGGAATCTGTGGAGCCGGATTGTGGAACGCCTTCTGGTGTGGGAATACTTAAGGTGCTGTGACCCTGAGGGGTCGATGTTGGGAGGTGAGGAGGCACTTTAGCCACTGTGGGATAAGTCACACAAGAGTGTCACTGAGAGCACAAGAAAGTGTACACTGAAAATTGAAGCACTGTTGTGTTGGACTGATCACTATTGATATTTGCACTGAATTATTTATTTAAGAGATTGCTGATTATTTACTATTTGTGTTTAAGCACTTATCACTTTTTATATATATTTTTCAACATTATTTTGGTTCATATGTCACTTTACCTGGTGTGCCTTTATTGATTGGAGGACCAGGCACCTGGTTTTTTACACAGTTTATTGTTGTTTTGTATTTTGAGCACATGTCACTTTACAATTTTTATGTGTTGCAGTCTCACGTTTATCTATTGATTAATGATTTTTATCAATTCAGATATATTCGAATTTTGAGCACGTGTCACTTTACATTTTTCATAGGTTGGAGTCTCACATATATTGATTAATTATATTTATGATTTTAGTTTTATTTATTTGTGTTTATTTACACAGATTTATTGGTTTATCGCATTTCGCTTAGCGCTTCACCATTTTTTTTAGTTTTACATCAGTAAACTGGCACAAAATTTCTTTACTTATTATTTATTACAGGTACTTATGTAGCACCATCAATTTACGCGCTTTACATTTATATATTGTACATTCACATCAGTCCCTAACCCTCAAGGGGCGTACAATCTAAGGTGCCTAACTCACATTCATACATACACATATTAGGGCCAATTCAGACAGGATCCAATTAACCTACCAGCATGTCTTTGGAGTGTGGGAGGAAACTGGAGTACCCAGAGGAAACCCACGCAGGCACAGGGAGAACATGCAAACTCCAGGCAGGTAGGGCCTTGGTTGGGATTCAAACCAATGGTCCTAGTACTGCCAGTTGGAAGTGCTAACCATTTAGCCACTGTGCTGCAGATTTGCCATTTCAAATGCTTGTTGCTTTGACCAAAAACAGGACCGCAGAACATTCTAGGCTAGAGATCTAAAAAGCTAAAGCAGTATTAAACCCAAAACCCAAAATGTAATATATTACATCTTAACTAACATTAGTTATTATGGTGGCTGCATCACTTTTCTTTTCTTTGGCTTTTTCCCCTCTGTTTTCACCTGGTGATCTGGCCAGTAGCATACCTCCTGTATTAATGAGACCCACTCTGGAGAAATGAGCAGAGGAGGCATAGCAGACACCAGCACTGTCACCAGTACTGTTAAATGTGCAAGCAGATTTAGATGCACTAACAAACTGAAGCCAAACTCCAGCTCACACTTTATTATCAGTTACAGCAATGATCTGATTTTATTTATTCATGTAAAACCTTTATCCCAAAAGTTAAGTACCCCTGCTAGTGATAAATGGTTTGTCTCATTCAAGGAAAACTGATACATTCTGGAGAGCTTGTGCTTTTGAAAGACAACAGACATACGGGCTGGATCACCTGGTGAAAATAGAAACAGAAAAAAAGCCTAAAAAATAAAACAAATGCAGCCATCACATCTAGGAATTGGTATGCTGCAATATAATAAATGTTTGCTTTTGGGTTCATTACCGCTTTAATACTTTTGGTGATACATTGTGGAACATCACTCCATTCTCCAAACCCTTCAGTCTTCACATAGAAAAATCCCATCTTCTCTATACGGTTTATCTGGAAATGTATTTCTGCCCTGGAGAGTCTCCTGAGAGGCAATGAGCTTCACCATTTATACTGGTCAATGGTATCCATCTTTATATGGCCCTAAATTAACCTTTCTTAATCTCTGAACTATCTTTACTTATGTATGAAGAAGATACCAGTAAGAGTAGAGAAAGTAACTGTTAGGTTATTACAAAGTCATATTATCATATCCATAAAAAAAAGAGTTCCACCGCTAAAATCACTCAGCCTCGTGAAGTAGTATCCAGAGGAAGTCTGTGCACAGAAAAACAGGCAGCAGAGACACAATCCTCACAACAGCTAATGAGCCCAGGAAATTCAAGGAGTCTTGAGAAAAGACATCATTTTTATAATTGTGTTAGTTTCTTTTCATTTACCAGCACATTTTCTGTTTTTATGGCAGGATTCTGTACAGAAGGAAGCCAAGTGCTAACTGTCAAAATGAAGAAGGAGCCAGCTGTGAAAATGACCAGAAAACCACAACTCATTGCATTATGTATATTGTGGATTAGACACAGTCTATGACAAGGCTTTGACCTAAATTCAAAACTCTAGTTTTTATAAGAGATAAGTCCAGTGGATGGCTTGAAACGCTGGAGAATGAGGGTGAGAGAGCCACTGGAGATTTCCAGCAGAACAAAGCCAAAGTGCGAGAGGCAGGAGGAGCCCAAAACATGCCGCAGCCGCTGATGGAAACCGGAGTGAAGCTCTGCTGGTGAAAACCATCATGCAGGGAGATTTCCCGCACCGCTCCTGTGTGAACTTAGATGACTCAGGCTCAAAGTCACTATGACAAGCCTGGATTTACACAGGAGCTGTGCAGGAAATCACATGCGATTCATTCATTTTGTGCAATGTGCAAAGTGCATTTGCTGCAGAGCCTAGTTTGCAAGAGCAGAAGCTCTGCTGACTTCTATCATCCAGGCAAAAATACTGTGAAAATGGTTATAGTACAGCGACTGTTTCATGTTATGCAATTAAAAGTTTGCCATGGCAACATCTAATGTTTGTGTAGTATTATGTTCAGCAGACTGTGTTCTTTGATTGTTGTGACTTAGATGACGTTCAGAGCACATTTTATTTGCCCAATTCATGCAAAAGGGAGGCTTCACGTAATCCCAAGGGGTTCACATACTTTTTTTTGTTTGAAAACTGTGATTTATATAGTACCTATATATATATATATATATATATATATATATACTGTATATACTGTATATATATATGTGTGTGTGTAAAGCACTGTGTAAAATGATGGCGCTATAGAAGTACCTGTAATAAAAGTGAAGCTGCACCCTGCAAGTGCACTTGATCCAGAGGTTAGTGAATGGGGTAAAGCCTCAATTTGCAAAGAATACCCAATCACGTGCAAAGAAAATAAAAAAAAAACAGTATTTTTGCCTGGATGATAGAAGTCAGCAGAGCTTCTGCTCTTTTACTAGGCTCTGCAGCAAATGCACTTTGCACATTGCACAGTCTATTTGCCTTTAATAAATCAACCCCATTGTATTCAACAGACGCTGCTCCAGCTAATGCTGAATGCCTGAATAGTGCTTGCATTTAATGCAAGGGCTGTTTGGCTGAGAATTGTCAGACTGGCTCCTTTACAAAAGCTGACTGAAAACTTGAAGTGGTTCTAAAGTTAAAACATTTTTTCCCTAATGATTTCTCTCCATTAAGGTAAAAACATTTTATCACTTGTTCTGTCTCCCCCCTAAACATTTGCCCAAGTCCTCTATCTATCCAGCACTGTGCACGGCTGCATCTCTTCTCTCCCTGCTCTCACAGGCTTCACTGAATCTGGGTGGAGTCAGTCATGCTGTGAATGTGCCTATGGACGCAAACAGCCTGGTTGGGGAACACTCCTGCAAATGTGCCCCCATAGCACACAGCTTACTATGGGGGCAAATGTAGAAGAGGGAAAGCGGATAGTGCTGGTGGGGGACCACAGAGAGGAGGTAAAGGGGCAGCTCTGTGCAATACCATATTAACAGCTTTTATTTCATTTCAGACTATTACTGCTGAACAGTGTATGGCCTGCTTTACACAGAACTCCAGAGAGGTAGTGTAAGGTATGCAAATGCTGCTGACAGTGACTCTTTTAAAGCAAAATTGTTAATCTGCCTAGTTGGATAAAGTATACTTTCTACATAAAGGCTCAAATTTTAGCTTATGTTTCTACATCCATATTGAAATCGATATATGTGAATTTCTTGCAGCTGCTGAAATGTATAATACAATATAAATAAAATACCCTTTACCTAGCTCAGCTGTCCACTGGACCAGCATTCCGACCAAGGAGGCAAAAACATTTCCACCGTTTAGGGATGCAGCTACTGCTAGGTACCGATTGCTCATGTATGGGAAATAAGTCACAGCTTCTGCAGGTGTGGGGTGGTCTTCAGGCTGGAATCCTTCCGGCATACAGAACGTCAGCTGGGCTGAAGTGCTAATATTGAGGACTTTTGGAATAAAAGGAATATGAAGAAAAAAAAACAGTAGCATTGTTAAAGAAGAAACAAATACAGTTGGAGTGACATGCATATTGTTCTGAAGACTTCTGAAAGGTTGTACAACTTTTTCCTTTTTTTTGAGAAAACAAAAACTGTTTAATAATCAACTATTTTGACTCATTTAAAAAAAAAAAATGAATTTCCAATATAGCAGCTTCCCTCAATGCCAAGGGGCCTCATTAGCAATTTTGGAACCACCACAAATTTGTCAGCATGGGTACCCAATACGATAAACAATACTGTGATGCTGCAGATTCTAATTCATTTTCTCACACTGACATATGTCTTGGAAGTAAGGTGACAAAATAACTATGTACCCAGGCAAAGAACAGAAGTGCTCATGTGACTTTGTGCAGCCTTTTATATCCTGCAAGCCGACAGCCAAGAATCACTGACATAAGGCATTATCTACAAACAGATCTGACATCATAAACAGTATTTATCACTTACATATGGATGTAAGTGATAAATATATGGAGCTAATATTTTCCAATCACACTACACCAACTATTATTATGGAAGATTAGACAATTATATACTTAATAACCTGGGACATAAAGGAAAAATAGCTCCCAATGACTACGGACATCCAACCATTACTGACAGAAATAGAGAAACTACAGTTGATAACTTCTTTCTGAAAATGTTAGTTGTCTAGCTTCTTCTGGCTTCACTGCCCCGGCAAAAGCATGGAAATCAGAGGATGTGAAGATATAACTCCTAATCTGCATAAAGTCCACTTCCAAATACAAGATAGAAGAAGCCGCTCTCCAGCAAAAACCTTGCGTACGGCTCTGCACCTTGGCTGAACACAGCACCAGAAATGGACCCGTCTGCGGCACTCTCTAGTACCAGACCACTTCCTCACATCTCGCAGACCCCTCAGTATAACGTGGTGGTGGTGAGAAGACCCCCCCCCCACCGAGGAGGCTAGATGGCTTCTTTCCTCCGCTACCACCGAGGCTACAACAAGATGGCAGCAGCAGCCGTCACTCACTCCCATGGCTCTGGAACCTCCACACCATCCACAAGAAGTCCTCCCAAGTCCAGGCCCCATGTAGATGAATATGATGACCCTCTTCTCTTTTCAGACATGGAGGTAGGCAATGCACATACACTGATTCCACTCTCAAAGACTTGCTCTTGTCATTAAGGTTCACTGGAAACTGATTTGCTATCATGTATCCATGGCTTTAAAAAGGATCTCAGGGTAGTGGGAGAGAGAGTTGGACAGATTGAAGATAGAATGGAGGAATATGCATCTTCCTTTAACTCAATAGTAGATGCGCATGTATCACAAAGGGAGGATCTGCACTGGCTCCAAATAAAGTGGATTCTCAAGGTCTTGCCGTAACAACATTAAATAGGAGGAGTCCCTGAATCAGTCTCACAGGTGCAACTAGCCCATTATGTGCAAGATCTATTTAAATGTGTCGTGGCTTCTTTAACAAGGGAAGACCTCACCACAGATAGGATCCATCGGATCCCTAAACCGGCTCATCTACCCCAGTCAGTACCTCAAGATTACTTGTTACAGATCCATTTCTATCAAGCCAAGGAAAAAATCCTTTCTAGCTTAGGACGTATGGATCCACTGCCTGACCAATACTCCAAACTGCAGCTATTACCTGACCTCTCTCAGTAAACCCTGCAGGGGCATAGAAGTCTTGCAATGGTTACCAAAGCCCTGAGAAACCACAAGACAACTGGCACTATCCCTGCTCCCTTTTGGTATCACGTGATGGGACTACATTGACGGTGACAACAATGGAACAGGGGCTTCGACGTTGGAACATCATTCCAGAAGCTCAAGCATCTCCATTTAGGTCTAATGATCCTAACACCTACGCTCAGAACTGGCAAATGACATCCCACAAAAGAGCATCCAAGCAGCATCACAATGATGGGCCCCAAACAACCTTGCTGTCCCTGTATCCAGCCAGGAGCATGCTGACACCTCTGATTTCTCTTTCTCTCTCTTCAGTTTTGCTGTATATCTGCACCTGGTTCTATTTGGAACCTTTTTTATGTTTTCTTAACCCCCTGGTGGGCTCCTTAGTCCCTTAGCATCAAAGTACCTTGTTCTTGACTGTTTATTGTTCTCTTCTGCATACCGACTATAGAGTACCAATACTATCATTCTGCATTCTCTACTCCTACTGTATTACAGTCCCCTGCAGTCCCAGGTACCTGGACAATTGAAAATCCACCCAAGTTACTGCTCTACTGATCCAAGAGCCAATTGTGCCCTTTCACTCCACTCACTCTTCACTTGGGCTTCAAAGTGGTAATACTCAACACACGATGCCTGAACCACCCGCCCAAAAGGGCGTCGCTGTGGAAAGAAGCCACCAAACTCTAAGAAGGTATCTTTTACGCCCAAGAGACTCGTTTCCATGTCACACAAATTCTCATAAAGACTACCCGCACACCCGCACACAACAAATATCCTCTTCTTCTATTGTAGATATTACCTGGTCAGACCATGCTGCCGCCTCCATCTCGGTGGAGGAAAAGGACACCTGCGCACCTGTGCGCCTTTGGCGTTGTAATTACAAGCTTATTAGTGAACCTTCTAATGTTTCATCTCTAACTCAACATCTCAGGGATTATTTCGAAATCAATGCTACCTCCACTGGAGACCCTTTTTTGTTATAGAATGCTCATAAAGCGTATATGAGAGGAATTAGCTTTCAAATCTGTGCCTGAACTAAAAACTCTATTCTCAGCACCTAGATGCTATATTATTATCAATTCACAAATTGGAGTCACTTAACCACTTGCCTACCAGGCACTTATACCCCCTTCCTTACCAGGCCAATTTTCAGCTTTCAGCGCTGCCGCACTTTGATTGACAATTGTGCGGTCATGCAACATTGTACCCATATGAAATTTTGATCATTTTTTTCTCACAAATAGAGCTTTCTTTTGGTGGTATTTAATCGCCACTGGGCGCTTTACTTTTTGCGCTATAAATTTAAAAAGTGCAAAAAAATTTGAAAAAAAAAAAAAAAAGTTTCTTTGTTTCTATTATAAAATTTTTCAAACAGGTATTTTTTCTCCTTCACTGATGTGCGTTGATGAGGCAGCACTGATGGGCACTGATAGGCGGCACTGATGGGCACTGATAGGCAGCACTAAAAGGCACTGATAGGCAGTACTAATGAGGTGGCACAGATAGGCAGCACTGATAGGCAGCACTAATGAGGTGTCACGGATAGGCGGCACTAATATGCAGCACTGATAGGCGGCACTGATAGGTGACACTGATGATGTGTACTGATAGATGGCACTGACTGGCATCACTGCTGGGCACTGACTGGCACAACCGCTGGGCACTTACTGGTGGCACTGACTGGCAGCACTGCTGGGCTGCACTGGTGGGTGGCACTGGTGGGCAGCACTGGTGGGTGGGCCCAGGTGGGTGGCACTGGTGGGCACAGGTGGGTGGCACTGCTGGGCACAGGTAGGTGGCACTTATGGGCACAGGTGTGTGACACTGCAGAGTGGCACAGGTGGGTGCACTGCTGGGCACAGGTGGGTGCACTGCTGGGCACAGGTGGGCGGAGCTAGTGGGCGCACTGCAGGGCACAGGTGGGCGGAACTTGTGGGTGGCACTGCTGGGCACCAATCATCAGGGCACTGATCATCAGTGGCCCTGATGATCGGTGCCGATCCTCGCTCTGACAACTGCCGGTTCTCGGCAGTACTTTCCTCACGATCTGACAGCGTGAGGAAAGTGCAGCCGAGAACCGGCACTTGCATTTCCCTCTGATCAGCGTGTCATTGGACACCGCTGATCACGTGGTAAAAGGCCGGTATGATCGGCCTTTTACCACATCTCGTGATCAGCTGTGTCCGTAGGACACAGCGATCACGGAGATCGCCGGGTGCGCGCCCCCTGGGGCGCGCAGGAGAGCGCGTTCTGGGGGGACGTCATATGACGTCCACCCAGAACTGGCCGGCCGCAGTGAAGCCGTCATTCGGCTATCTGCGGTCGGCAACTAGTTAATAAAAGCCAACCTGATCCCACGCGTTTATCTATCCTTCTCAAACCCAGACTAGAACTGCGAGGTCTCTTATCTGAACAATTTGACAAGTCAGCAAGAGTCCTTAAAATTAACCACAAGCCTACAGGGCACTTATACCCCCTTCGTGCCCAGGCCAATTTCCAGCTTTCAGCGCTGTCGCATTTTGAATGACAATTGCGCGGTCATGCAACACTGTACCCATATGAAATTTTTATCATTTTTTTGTGACAGATAGAGCTTTATTTTGGTGGTATTTAATCAACTCTGGGTTTTTATTTTTCTTAAACAAACCAAAAACCACTGAAAATTTTTGAAAAAAATTTTTTCTTAGTTTTTGTTATAAAATTTTGTAAATAAGTGATTTTTCTCCTTCACTGATGTGCGCTAATGAGGCTGCAGTGATGGGCACTAATAGGCTGCACTGATGGACACTGATAGGTGGCACTGATGAGGAGGCACTGGTAGGTGGCACTGATTGCCATTGACAGGCATCACTGATGGGCACTGAAAGGCAGCACTGATACATGGCACTGACTGGCACTGTTAGGTGGCACTGATAGGCGGCACTGACTGGCAGCACTGATAGGTGGCACTGATTGGCATTGATAGGTGGCCCTGACTGGCACTGATGGGTGACACTGAAAGGTAGCTCAGATGGACACTGATATGCACTCGTAGGCACTGATATGTGGCATTGATGTCGCACTGATGGGCACTGGCACAAGGCACTGATGAGCACTGACAGGTGGCACTGCTGGGGCTACACTGATCATCAGGGCACACTGATGATCAGTGTACATGTCCCCTTCACAGAAAGCCGATTACCGGCTCTCCTCTCCTCACAAGCTTTCAGCGTGACAGCTCGAAAGGAGAGAAATGCTGATAACTGGCATTTCCTTATTTACATGCGATCAGCTG